TCATATCCCACGAAAGGTGTTAAAGTTTTCTGTTTTTTGGGACTTCAATATCTCTGTAAAGAAACGTTCTTTTGAGCTGAAATTTTCAGGAGATTCTATTCACAGATAGACCTATCTGTGGGTGAAATCTCAGGTCGAAATAACGTCATTTGATTTGTAAGTATATACCTTGCCATAGGCTAAAATTCCAGTAAAATGGCTATAACTCTGGATAGAAGACCTGCGGGGATTTATCCTTTTGGGGTTTTTCATACCTCACTGGGGTCTACCTTATGCACAGAGTCCGAACTCAAAAGCGACGGGGCAGTTGGTGGCCTTCCCTCGTGAGTATTGATTCTTCTACAAAATCTAGAAATTCATCTGAAAACTAATTGGTAAGAATTAATAATCCTTTAAAGTCGAGGACAGAGGATGACAGTTCGGAGAAGTTTAAACAGAGTTCAGCTTCAATACAAACAAAATATGTTTAGTATTTTTTACTTCTTAGAACGTGTTTATCTACCAGCTACAATTCTACTATGTTTCGATACTGTACACAAGGCTTACTGATGCTGATGTAGAACTGCATGTTTGTTTGTTTGTTCATGCACATAAGACCTTCTGATTCTTTTGCATATGTTTGGAATTTATTCATATGTTATACAGCACAAACTTGCATTTACTGTATGAGAAAGTTTAAAATATATTTAGCTTCTCGAAAAAGCAACGTCGAAAATATGAATAATTCCAGATAATAGATAACACTAATATAAAAAATTACACATATAGCACATATTAACCATGAAAAATGAATAGTAAAAAAATCTAGTAAACACAGTTAACAGTTAATTGAAGTAACAGCATCAACGACAACCTCTTTACAAATGCGTTTATAAAACCTTTTTTAAATTCTAGTATTAGCGGGACAAAGCTAGATCTTGTTTTGATTATTACACAATACAAAATGATTCTCACACTATATACCTCGTTTTTCTATTCTAATACTTTCGTCTTGAATCAGGCAAACAACAAAAACATTTCTAACTCTATAACAAATGATTTCTTTTACTTTATTTTTCCAACTATATTGTTTGATATAGAGAATACTGTTTATAGGAGAGATATTCGTTTTGGAACAATCGAATCCAGGAGAAGAACACCTAAAAATTGTTCCAAATTGTTTGATATCTAATTGACTGGGCGAACTTTTGATACAGAGTTTATTTATTAAAGTCATCTGACAAATAACTATTACGTTCAATCACGAAAAAAATCAACGAAAAAAGTAATTGCTTAAATTCGATATAACTTAATCGAATAAAAGAAGTCTTTGATCTACTGTCAAATTTGTCATTTTTATTTGAATCAAAGTATCGTTCAATCTCCGCAGTAAGAAAATCTAATCTCGACTCAAATTTTCTATATCAGTAGGTCTAACGTGAATAATACAAAATATTCTAACTTTTTTTGTTCAAAAGTGACTATTATCCATTTCAAAATATAATGACCCTAGTTGATGTTTGAATTTGGCTGCTTTTGTTAATTGGAAGCAGCTAGAGATCTGTGAATTTTCTCATTCGATGGACAAAAATTTGGAACATCCTCCCATCAAAAAACTAAGTTTTAAAATTATTTCTAAACTAGGCTTTTGAGGAGCTTTTTACAAAATTAAGTCATATTGTAAAATTACTCTCGTACTTTTAAGTACAAATATTTTGCATTTTATTCAGGAGTAAAACTGGCGTACTCAGAGTGTTATCTTCAGCATGGAAGTCAAGCACAATCTTCATTTTAAGTTGTTTAGATATGGCATCGGGTCACACAAATATCAGGAATGATCTTTAGTACCATGGTATGACCTGAAAAGTATATGTAGCATAAGTTATTGATGCATTTATATAAAAATAACGAATTTTAGGCCATTTTTATCCAAAACAAAAAAGTTCATATTTCACTTAAAATTCAGCGGAATTACTTGAAGATTTCAGGATATATTCAGTTTGATCTAATATATATGAGTCTGTGCTTAAGGGTATTCCACCCTTTTTTTTTTAAAAAGTTTTCAACTTTGAGTTGAATGTACCGGGAAGTCTTGACTACAAAATAAGATCACTCCCAGCATTTCACGATCGTTTGGAAGAGAGTCATCAGTTTTTGCTCGAGAGACTGAAAAGCTTAATTTTCTAAGTTTTTTAAATTTGTCTCTCCTTTTTACTGCATTCAAGAATATTTTTATTTTTATGTAGTTTGATATAGATATCGTAGTGATATCGTCAAAAGTGCTCTGAAAAAAGTGATCTATCTCATGCTACCTGTAACGCTTAAACCATTGATAGTTCCAGCCTGTGTACATTACGTTCCCAGCGAAACTTTGTGCGACCGCGCGTAATATACACTAATTAGAACTATCAATGTTTTATGGAATGGAAAATTTTGAAAGACGTCTCGTAAAGAGAACATTTTTGTTCTATCAATTATATAAGAAATAATTTTGTAATTTAAGAGTCAGATAGAATAATGACCTGTTCATATAGCATTTATATTGAAATCTTTGAGTGATTTGACTAGATTTTCAGTGAAATTTAAATTTTTTAATTTCAATTCATATGTCCCATGTGTTTTTGAGGTTAGTGAAATATTAAATGTTCTTCTTATAGGCATTTTATTGTTAATCTACGCTTAATTTTATGGTTAAGTTTGTGTCTATTATTTATTGTCAATTTCTCTCGTTACTTAGAACTGCATGTCTGTTAAATATATTGCAGCAATGTAGACTCCTGATACTAGTTTTTATCCGCCCTTCAAACCGTTCAGTATGTTGTAAAGCATATTGTTGGATGTCAAGGGTGAAGACGAAATAAATAATGTCACTGTTATTCTAGAATAAAGCAGATTACAACGATATTTTGTTTTGTTGTATGTTGTTTATTTTACAAAATGCTAGAAATAAAAAATGTCATTTTCAAAAAAAAATCATTTTCATTTTTTTTTTCCATTAAAATCTTATCGTGCAATGTTCTTAAGCTGAAATCTCATTCATTTTTCCTGAAAGTCATTAATTGGCATCTACATATATATGTGATTCTCATTTCAAATTTGAAGTAACTGTAAAACAAAAAGAAACAAATTATTTCAAATACAAGTATATATTAACGATTCAGTATGTAATATTTGCATCTATTTTCCTATTGGTTTTATTCTTGTACGTGTTGAGGACGTTTCTAATGGTTTACATAAATTTAATCCGGTAAATGGTGCTATTGATGAAAAAAGATGATGATATGCTGGAGTAGGTGAAAATGATGTTGATTGTTGTGTTGCTGTCCATATTATATCATCAGACTTTTTAATCGATTTTTCTTTCTTCTTTGATGATTTATTATCATTTGTTAAACAAGTCGAACAAAAACAAGGTAAATTCTGTGCTGCTTTTGGACAAGATATTTGTGGCGATGGTGGTGGCGGTGGTTGTGGCGGTGGTACATGCTGCTGTCGATAAATGTTATTCAAATGTTGCCTCATATCTTCTAATGAATTTGTTAACGTGACAATATAATTTCTTGCTAATAATAATGTGGCCATTTTAGATAATTTTCGTACAGATGGATTTCTTGCATAGGGTATAACTTCTCTTAGACTATCCAAAGCGGTATTCAAATCATGCATACGTTTTCGTTCACGGCTATTAATTTTTAAGCGTAAATCTTGTAAATCATCTTGATTTAGAACACTATTTGTTGTTGTTGTTGTTGATGACGAAGGATATTTTCGGCGTTTTTGACGATTCAATGATGTTGTTGCTGTTGAGGATGAGACAGATGAGGGTGATGATGAGTGATCAGTAGAATTCAATTGTATATTTGGCGGTATTAAATTATTTAGAAATGTTTTTGGTTGAATATGGGGAAAAAATTGATAATCAATAGAAAGTAGACCAAGGCGATTTTCTTTGTTGTGTCGATCGTATTCATTATCCGATGGTTTCTCCTCATTTAAATGATTTTTATATGTATGTTCATCGTCGCTAACTGTATCCTGACTGCTATCATCGCAAACATTTAGTTCATTTTCATCGTCGGTATGAGTAGCCATAGCTTAAAAATGAAAAATATTTATGAATAAAAATTTTAGAGTCGACTACATCTACTAGAATTTTATGAGATGATTTTTTGCTTTTTACTAGTTTTAAATCCCATATAGATGTTCTTAGTACTGATACTTCAATAGTTTATTACCTGTTTGTATCATGTTGAATATCAAAAATTGTTTTGTTTTATTGTTTTCTTATAAAGAAAAAACTCTACTTCAATTTGATACGCTCGATTATGTCGATGTTTAATTTGTTACCATATTTTTTCAATATTAAACTTTCATTTTCTCAACTTTCACTTTTCATTTTATATTTTGTACCAATCATACATCATACCGATGTCAATAGAATAATTACACCAATCAAATTATTTTTCTTCTTTTCTGTTAGAAGAAACGACAATATTTATATATGATATGAACAATTGAACGAACAGATTTTCTGACAGTTTTCTTACTTTACAAACATGATGTTCGAACAATTAGAAGAGAGAGAGAGAGAGACAGAAAGATGAGTAATACGATACATAATTGACAACAATAGAATATTCTGTTACTTCAACACATGGGTACAGAAAATAACCAAAGTTTCATATATGTAGTCAATATTTGAGACATACAATAACGATACATATGGTCAACATTTTCTTCAAGTCTGTCGATCAGCGAGAAATAGTCTACTTCACTTTTTCTCTACATTTCTTCCATTTTACCAATCAACTAGGATCTTCAAAATTTAACGTTTTTGAATCATTTTCTGGCAAGAAATTATCAAAAAATTATTAATTGTCTAATTTTCCTTCGTTCATTCACATCTTGATTACATTTACAAGCACAATTTATATAGTCTGTCTCCAATGTGGTGCTCTTTTGTCTTTAAAAACTTTGTTTGTGTGACTAAAACACTTTTTAATCCAGATGTGAAGAGGAGAAGTTAATCAAATAGTCATCTATAACATTTGGTGTATCATCATTTTAATTGTCATTACAATTTTGAACGGTTACAGCTCAGTGGGAAATCAATGATCGTTGATTGTTTTTTTCCTTGTTGGTTTGAAAATTTCTATATATCCATTTTTTTATTTTTTAACTTCTCACTTGACACATGCCATCGAACAATACAAAAAAGAATAGTTGGATATAATCTGATCATGCATTTCTAAATAGTAGAGAAAGAGAAGAAAAAAAAATCGATTTATTTTGTGATAGTAAAGATACAAATATGTTTGATAAACGATTAACATTGAATAGAATGACATCATTAAGAATAACGATGGAATGTAAAGCAGGTGAATATAGTTGACATTAGAACTCATCATTTATTTATAATTGACTCAAACATCAACAATCTCTAGTTTACATAATACTAAAGAAAAATTCTTTAAAAAATAAATAGCAACGACATATTTTTCATATCTTTTAGAAGTTTATTTGACCAACTATCTATTTTAAATGCTATTGTAACATTTGTGTAAAAGAAAGTAGGATAGAGTAAGTATTACTCACGAATGTAAATATTTTTTTGTTTTTTTCAGCCGTATGTTCTCATTCGTATCAAACATATGAATGAATGCGTGATTTTTTGTTTCTTATGTAATTACTAGAAAAAGAAATGATCCGTATTCGTGATAATTCGATTTTCTTTATTATTGTGTACATATTTTCTAATTAGTTTAAATCTATTGGGAAAGAATATTTTTGTCACCTTACGTGTATACGTGAGTGTATATGTTTTCTACATTTTAATCAAGTCACTTCATTCATCATTAACACATCCTGTGTTTTTTATTACAAAATGTACATATGGTTACTATTTCAAGAAAATGTGTCTTTTCAACGTTTAAAATCTGATAGTATATCATAAGAACACACACGCTCTATAGATGTCTTTTTTTCGTTATATCTTGTTTGGTCCAAAGGTGAAGAACTTTTTTTTTAACGTACTTTATGCATACTAAAAAGAAATCTTAAAGTATGCAAATTTTGTAGTCTAGCTATAATCTTCAAACTTTTAACTCAATGATTTTCGCTTAAAGGCAAATAAATTTCATTTCTATACATCTTCAATTATCAATGTTTCTAATTTAGAGCTTCAGGACAAAATACATGGAAAACTGAGGGAAAATTTCGTTCAATCGTTCATTTTCTACTTTGCTTAATTAATATTAATTTGTAAATGAAGAAAACGTTAAACTTTTTTATGCTTAAAATATTTTGATTGTCAAGAAATTATTTTTACTTGTATGCCAAAAGGAATCGTGCACTGCTCATCTCAAGCCGAGATCAAACTATTGTTTGAATCATTTTTTTTCTCTCTCAAACTACAGCTAATAAGTTGACATCAAGTGAAGATGAAAAACTTTTTTTTTGATGAACTAAAAGACACATGCACACAACCCAATTCACATCGTTACATGGGTGACGAAAAGAACAGGTAATAAGTATTACATGTTCATAGAAGAAGAATAAAACAAAAATATATATATAGCGACTTAATTGTTTTCTGATCAAAATCATTTATGTGACATGATCACCGCGTCTTGAGAAGAAGAGTGGAAAAAAAAACTTTTTTATTATTATTCTGTCATACATATACATATCAAGTTATAGAAGAGAACATAACACTCAACTAATCATTCATACGTGATTCGAGTGAGTAAAAGATTATTCCGACAAAACGGTGACAATGTCTTCCTGTTGTGATTTCAACAAGTTCATTCAATTAATTAAACAACAAACACCGTTTTGATCAAACCGGAATAGACGTATAACATCAGTAAAACATATTTTAACGATGCTTACCTGAACAGAATAAATTCAAGATATAGATTGCCTCAAATGTTCGCAATTGAGTTAAAATAACTAATAATATAGAACAACTTTGAGTGTTACAAAAGAATGAAAACTGGTGCTGATACTCTTGAACTATATTATGATCATCACGTTTTCTTGCACAGGTACAATAAATTTGATAACCCAGATATGTTATTTTAGACGGCAAGGGGACTGTCCAAACTTTGTTCCAACAGAGATGTAACCGTTCCAACATTTTTAGAACAAGAAACGGGTGCTATTCTGAAAATTCTCGAAACGGAACGATCATTCTCAAGTTTCCATTCTTTCATAGTAAAAGACTAATTTTATTCAAGAAAAAAAGCTCAGAATGACACTGATTAAAACCGTTTTTAAAGCGGTCGTTCTAAAAAGTCTTACCGAAACGGAACGGCTTGGTCGTTTGCCGTTACTGGTTCAGAGCTGGAACCGGTACCGGATAGAACCGGATCAGTTGAGAAAGTTAACCGAGCCGGTAGAGACCGGTATTTCACCGGTTGAAACTTTTGAAACATCTGCTCTTTTTACCCTGTTTTTCGTTAAAAAACCAAAACATCACATCTTTTTCAGTCAGAATAAATATGACGATGCTGAAGACAGATATTATTTTCATCACTTGTTTTAAGGTTAAATGTTATAGACTCGTTATTGTGAAGCTTCTCTCACATGTGCTCGCAAACTACTTTATTTCTGGCAGAAATTCTTTCTGAAAATCGATTTTATCAAATCCAGTTTTTCACTGGTATTTTACCTGTTTGAGTTATAATTCCGACCGACCGGACCGGTTTACCGTTTCTCAACCGATTTCAGGTCTGTACCGGTTACAACTCTGTATCTCAAGATCTCTTGGCTTCCAACGTTCAATCCTATACTTCAAATCTTTCTGAACATCGAACCTGTCTATCTTTTCATTTTACTTTCTTAATACTATTATACGTTTAGATCTTTTAGACTTTATATAGTCGACGTGTAATTGAACGCAACTTGTACCTTACATAATGACTAAGAGAAGTAAGAACTAAAAGGAGTATTCGGTACTCTACTTTATATACTTCGTACACCAAAAAGAGCTCGGGGCAAGTTTTGGAACATCCCTCATCTCTGTATTTTTAGGAAAAATCTATCTGCATACCGCACGCTATTTTCAGAATAGAGCAAAAATAGTAAGCAAAATTCATTTCTATATATCATTGAAATTGAAATCTTTTTTTTAGAACTCGATTGCTCATTAAAACATACATGTTTTTCCAGACTATTCACTTTATTATTGTTCCATATTAATAATAATATTATTTTTTGAAGTTATCAGAATGTTATCATACTCAAGACTATATGATAAAATTTATTTTCGTACAAAAAAAATAAGATAACAGTTTTAGAACCAAATGTCATTTTTGTTTCAGTTTAGTTCATCTTCAAAAATAAATGGACAAATAGTACAGAAAAGAGAAAAATAACATCTTTTATCAAACAAAATAATAGTAATAAGGGAAAAAAAAATTTTAATACATACACATACATACATATACATAAATGAACAATATTTATCTGACTATGAATTTCAAAGATCACAATTGTTTTTTTTTATACAAAAGATTCAACAAGTAGAAAAATAGATAAAAGAAACAGACAGATTTGTTACCAATTTAACATATTATTACCAAATCGTTCGATAATTCGATCTTGATCACCCAAATCTTTTTGTACTTTACGTCTCATATAAAATATTGAACAATCACGATTTGTACATAAAATATCTTCTTGTCGAGCACCTTGACAACGTTGACATTCTGTCCATAAACGTGTAAATTTTTCTTCTAAATCTTGTAAAAAACGTATTTCACGTTGATACAATTCACTTTCTTTTTCTTTACAACGTTGACACAAAGCTGTCTCTAAAAAAATAGAATATAAATAATATTGTAATTTACAATTGATGTAAATAAACATTTAAGATAGATAAAAATATCTTGTTAAAAATCTAAGATTCTCTTTATCTTCAACTTTTCAACGATTGATCTCTCCTTTTTCTAGAACGTGACAATTTCCGTCCAATTAGGATATTTCGAATGAATTGCTTTTAAAACTCGGTATTCCTATTTTCATTGAAAAATCAATTCTCTTCTACTGACATTCCCATCTTTGAAGTTCTACACTCAATTCAATATTCAATGTTACCAGAGCGATGGTAGTGATTTTCGACTTTGTGTTAGCACCAAAAAAAGAATATTTTCTCACCCATTGTCTTTCACATATATTTGTAGGAGAAAAAAAAAAGAAGAAAAGAATATCATTTTGCTAACACTACACTCATCAATTTAATAAAAAGGATCACTTTTTTCTCTTCTACTTTTTTTTCTTCTTCTTTCACTCGATTCTCAAAATATGATAATTAGTTTTGTCACCTATCGATTTTTGTCAATCATAATTGGAATATTATTACCATCGTACAAAACATATAAAGCAATTAAATATCAACTCTCTGAACAATATTTAACTTTACTCTGTTATTGGATTGTATTTAGTTTCTATCATTTATATGAAATTTTTCTTGATCAAATTCTTTCTCTTATATTTCCGTTTTATTACGAGATAAAATTATTAATAATTTATTGGTTAGCATGTAAAAATGGTGCACAAATTTTATTTAATCGATTTCTTTTACCATATGTAACAAAACATGAACAAGATATTGATTATATATTTAATCATACAATTAATCGATTTATACCAAAATTATGTGAATTATCATTGAAAACAATTGTAACAACATCGCAAATTGTCTTTAATCGATCAAATGGTACTGTTGCGTCCACTTCATTAACAAAATATTGCAGTATACCGAATACTGAGCCCATAACCGGTGAACGTTCAACAGATTTAATTTCACGCGTTAAAAAAATTATTGATAATCAAAATAATCTACTTGAAGATTATCAACAACACCATGGTGATGAGAAAATATTATTAAAAACATATTTAAATGAAAATCGTACGGCAAAAAAACCATCGAAAGAATTTCATATAACAAATTTTGCTGAACAACAACACAATTATATACATCGACGACATAGTAGCACAGTTAAAAATAGATGAAAAATGATGAAATCGACTACTTTTTTTCTCCATCATAATTAAGAGACGATGTTTGATTTTTTAGAAATTTTATTTTTCATTGTTGACTTTTTTTAATTCCATTGTTATGTCTATATAAACTAGACGAGACGATAATTTGAAGACAAATACTTTACTCTAGAGCTTTCGTCACTCACTGTACGTCAATGAGGAACAAAATTATACATGATGTAAGTAGTAGGGATGAAAAAAATAATTTTAGGTACAAAAAGTTCCAGAATTTTTGAAAAAATTTTCAGACGAGAAGAAAAAACATTTTTTTCGATATTTCCATCGATTTTTTTAAAACAAATTATATCCATTTTCGTGTACTGTTCTTACCATTCTGTATTGTGACAAATGTTTATCTACTAATAGATCTATACGTCTTTAAATCAAAAGGATCAAATATGTATCGTATATATGTTTTTTTTAAAGTCATGCACACCCTACTCAAAGAAAGAATCTTTTGTAAAAAATTTCAAAACTAATGAATCAGCAAACAAAAGCTTTCTCTCTTTCCTTGTTCTCTACTGTTAACGTAAACGTATGTTGTATCGAAAACAAGTAAACAAAAACTAATTTTGCATGAACTGAAATTATGTTAGACTCTGAACATAGTTCAGTATGACAGATTCGAGTGAATTCAAAAGCAAACTATGGTTTATGATGCCGTTATCAGCAATCACTGGCATAATTTCTTAAAATTTCAGAATTTTCTCGAGAAATTCTCATCCTGGAAGTAGTTCTTGTATCAAATATGAAGACCTATTTATTTGTGCAATCTTTTATCACTCATTTTTTTACGAATTATTTACCTTGATCGTCCAAAGATAATTTACATCCAATACATTTTTCTTTTTTAACCGTATAAGCATATAAACTACCAACTTTGGATGTTACAATCGATTTTGTTAGTGTATGATCACCGTCTATAAATAGTCAATATAAGATTATTGTAGTAGGATAAATATCTATGGCAGAAAATAACTTACGTAATAATGTTGATTCAGCTTTTGCTTTACCCAATATTGGTTCAAATATTCTTAGCAATGGTTTTGATATTTGATTATCTAGATAATATTTTGTATCCAATGGAACATTATTATCCAAAACATAAACAGGATCCTAAATAAACAGATAAAACATTAATCGAACATTCACTATTCATTTATCTACATACTTCAGCTCGTTCATAAGCGGGTTGTCCTTTTGTACCAGAAACAATCACGTAGGGGACACGATCTCCCAATTGTGGTGCACTACCAGCATCACGTTTTCGCATTTTATTTGCTAATTCAACATGTGCTTGTTTATTAGCATATTCTTTATCAGTTTTTGTCAATTCTTTTGTTATAACTAATTGTGAAATATCAATACGATTACATAATAAATCAGATATTGTCTGTTTAACATAATCAACGGCAGCATTAGGATCACTATAAAACATGAATAACAACTAATATCTTACCGTATTTATCTTCTTAATTATCAAAAATAGAATTTGACAATTTCTGCTAAACCTTCAGTTCTTCGCTGTCAAAGAGAGGGAAAGAGTTTTATCGTTATGGATCTCCTCTATCAAAAATATTGAATTTTTTGCATAAAAAGTCGACATTGAGATAAGCACATGGTTTGATAGCCCAGGATGTCTTATTTCAGAATCCATACTGTTTTTGCCAATATCCAAGGTTTTGTAAGGATACAATACGGAAAATTTGCATTTGCCGTAAACTCAAAATTTGCACACTTTTGTATTGATTAAGAAAGCAATTTACTGCGCTTTAGTATAATCATTGCATTCATACAGATCCTTAGCTCTTTGTTTTCTGTTTTCTGGTACAGAGTATCTATACCAGCGACATATAAGATGGTTGGATCCTAGGCGATCCTATCAAAGATTTCTAACTTTCCAAGCGCAGTACATATTTCATGCACGGATACGCATGAGTATGGATCCTAGAATCCTTGAGTCTATTATTAAATACTATACTCTGGAGCAGCGTTTGCTTTGCGGCAAACTCTCGATTTAACATAAATGTCCAGTTTGCAGCAAATGCAAACTTTCCAGTATGTGGTGAGAATTTCAAAAGTTTTATGAAAAAGTCTAAAAACTGATTTTTCTAAAATTGTAATATTCCGATATAATGCTGAAATCAAAAAGGCTTTCAATGATGCTAGTTGATAGAGCAAACATTTCTGGTTAAAACCTGACGCCTCTCGATTTTTGAGCAATATTTTGATCAAAAGTTAAAATAGTTAGTTTTACTAAGAGTCGCCAAGTGTTTATCATACACAAGCGCCACTATATTTTAAAATAAAATTTTCCCTTCATCGCTCTAAGAGATGCGTCCATAATTCTCACTTAATTTAGATCAACTCGGGATGGTTAGGAAGATTTCGTCGGTTCGACAATACAAAGCTAGATTTTTGAGTTTCGTTTTGGAAGATAAGAAAAAACTAAGAACCTCTGAAAAATCTGACAAAGGTTTGTAGGTATTGACGAAAAATGTTTCGTATTAATCATTAACGTAAAATTTCAAAAATCCAGTCCTGTACTACCAAAGTGATAGCATTTTTCTACGAAATGGAGCCATTCCGAACTCTGTAGCATCTAAAATGAGTGAACATTATTGAAAACCTTAACCGGCTTATTTTGAAAAAATTTCGTCATTCTGCTCTGACATGGTCAATACACGCTGAAAGTTTGGTTCAGATGGAAGGTATAGTTACCGAACTAGATCTCTGCCAGGAAGGGAGACCTTAAAGAAGTACCGTATGAACTTACCGTTCAATTAATAATTTTTCAAGACATGTACTAATCAAATTAGCCACTAATTCACAATTGTCTCTTCTTACAGTTTCAATTCCTTTACAGTCCATTTTATCATGATGTGTTGGTTTCGTAAAATAAAGACCAGCATAACGTTTTTTACTAATTAATAAATATGGATAATAACATTTTTCAAATTCTAATTTAATTGGCGGTAGAAAATTTTTTGTAATATATTCTGCGGCTTCACGTCCTAAACTCATTGCTTCTTCCAACGTTGGTACACCAAATTTAACCATTACCGAATCTGTATCACCATAGATCACTTTTGCATCATATTCGGAACCATTTTCCATTCTATATTTTTCTTCAACTAATTGTTTTGTTTTCTCTATCATTTGTCGACCAAATGATGTTACACTTTGTGATATTTCTAAACATGGTAATTTTCCAACTTGTGCACCAGTAAAACCATACACACTATTGGCTGATATTTTTAATGCATTTTGTCGACCATCTAAAACTTTTTTACGAAATTCATCTTTTTCATCTTTCAACATTTGTTTGACACGTTTACGTGTTGATAATAAATTTTCTAATATTTCAGGTAATATACCGCGACGTATATGAGATTTAACAAAATAATTATCTGATGGCGTTTTGATGTAATCAGTTGGAGACAAACTAAACAGAAAATGATGCATTATAAACTACTAGTAGTAACTAGAAAACAACAACAACAAATATAACACAACTGAATGATTAATAAAAATTTAAACGCAATGTTTTGAGAGAAGACTTCTGTTCAACTTCGTATAAATTTTATCGTTACCTCTGTCTGATTGTCGGTCCAACCAATGTTGTATAACAGAGATTATGTGCAATCATAATTGATGGGTACAATGATGAAAAATCCAATGTTGTTATTGGCGTATCATAATACCCACTAACCGGTTCTAAAACTGTAGCACCCGTAAAATCATCACCGTTATCCGTTACTTTCATTGCTGGTATTAACAATTGTTTTTCTTTACATTTTCTTAATATTTGTGATATAACTTTAATTTGTTGACCGCGTTGTAATAAATAACTCATTGGTACACCCGTTACACGAGCCATTTCCATATAATTAATTAATGACATTAATTTTTCTAATAAACGTAATGGTAAATAAGCATCTTTCAAACAATAGACAGCTAAACGACGACGTGTTTGTTCATTTCCTTGCTACAAAAAAAAAAGAAGAAAACACATCGCGGTGAAATTGTGAGTTGTTGATGAATCCACGAAAGCCTCATACCTGTAAATCACCAATAATCGAATGTTGTACATCTTCTTTTGTTTGTTGAAGAAAATGAAAACTGACTGCATTCAATGTATAAGAACGAAGTTTATATTCACGTAAAAGAACCTGCAAATAATACGCAAAAATCGTTCTTTAAACGTATGACAATAACGAACTCATTTACCAATAACAAATCGAAGAGAACACGTCCTTCTAAATTGATAATTTTATTTTCTCTCCGACCCAATTGTTTCGATTGTAGGACAGTTGAACGTACCACAGTTTTTACATCCTTCAAAGAGAAAAAAAAATCACATATTGGCTTACTTTTACTTTCATTTAACATACTTTTAATCGTCCCAAATATGGAAAACCGTCTACTTTCAACGTTTTGGCTCGTGTTAATAAATAATAAAAATCAAAATTTTGTATATTGTAACCAGTTATTATATCTGGATCAACTTCACGAACAAAATCGGACCATTTCTAAAAATTTAATAAATCGTATAGTTTAGTAAATACATAGAAATGTTAAATATAAGAATGTTTTACTTGTAATAAATCTTGTTCTCTAAAGCATTGAATGACTTGTGCACCAGCTATATTAGCACATGTACCTAATGTGAAGACAGTTCTAATAAATTCTTCTTTTTCGCCTTGTCGAATGACCATACTGGCTATTTGAATAACACTATCTTTTTCTGGTTCAGGAAATATACCTTATAATTCAGAAAATTATTAATCATAGTAATCTTAGTGTTATTTTTCTCTTTCTTTGAGTCATACATACCTTTTCTACCAGCACATTCAATATCATAACTCATTATACGTAATGGAGCAATTCTTTGCCATTCGCCTTCAGTTGGATAAGAGATAATATCTTCATACCATACATCAATTTCAATTTGGCATCTAAAGGTAATGTAGTGGAGGAAGTACGATGGTTGTTCGTTAGTTCAACGACTTATATCACTCCTACGAACAATTTATCCAGGATATGAAGCATTTTTCAGGACTTAGTGGTAGTCTGTATTCAAAATTAATTCAATTTCTCTTATGAATTATTTAGAACAAATCTTTACCTTGACTGTATTTTTCCTTGTGAAGCAGTGTCATGCGTCATCATTTGTCTAATTCGATATTTTCCAGCTGGTATTTCAATCCAATTACATCCAACAATGTTCATATCAGCCATAAATCTAGATGAGAAAGAGAATGATGTATAGATATTTTATCATGAATACATCATACAATTACTTTATTTCAAAATCAATATTCGATTCATATGTTTGATATGCCTGCATACTATTAGATTGACCAGTCCACTGAAAACCATGTTCTAATATTCTTCGAGATGTTGCTATTAGACGTGGTATTAACACATAAATTTTTAATATTTGAAGTTTTTCATTATTATGAAAACCAAGTACACTTTCTTTTTCTTCTAATTCAATATCTACACAAACTTCTTGTGGTAAATCTTTGCTACGTGCCTCATTACGTAGCGCTTGATTAAAATTTTGCTAAAACAGAAACAAATGCTCTATTTTCTTTCATTCAAGTATTTGAAAACAACTCAAAATCTACTTTAAATCTTTCAATATCCGTTTTTTTAAAATTTGGTGGTGCTGTTGTATATAAATAGGGTACATAACCGTATAAATGTGCCATAACACTGTAACCTTCATCGGTCACACCATATAAACGAACAACGGTTGTTTGACCACGTTGGTGGACCTGTCTTTGTGTACTAAGAATTGTTGGAATACCTTAACGAGAAAGAAAACAATAAAAAAACTTGTTTATTATCCATAAAATAAAAAAGAATATTAACGATGTCTGGATCTGAGACAACAAAAAATATACACAAAAACAAAGATATGGCATTAAGACAACTCTAAAAAACATCGATTCGTATTGATACCAACGTTTTAAGGTCGTGTTCTTAGACTCGTGTAGCTATCATCACTATTTACACTCTTTAATCAGAAAATTTTAAACACGAGAACCTCAGCAATTTCTCACCATTGTAATCTGTATACGCATCTAAATCAATTTGTTGAAATATAAGCTTATATGTTGTTGAATCAATCGATGGAATTTCTGGACGAGACCATTTGATATTAGTGGCTTCATATGCTGGACCTTCACCTAGAACAAACACACAACAAAAGTTCTTAGAAGTTAAAAGAACATTGTATAGTCATATACCAAGTTCGAGAAAATTTTCTTTATTTTCTATTTCAGCATCATCATATTGTGAATCAATTTCATTTTCATTCTCATCATCGTCATCATCCACTCTAAACGAAGAAATAAAACAATAGAAATAATCATCAAATCATTTATTTTTTGATATACCGTTTTGGACGTTTTGATGGTCCACCATTATGTTCTGAATTCAAATTTTGTGGATGTGAGTTTTGTGTAAAATTTTTTCTTTTGAAGTTATTCATCTAAGAAAGTAAAATTGACTGTTCAATACTTTTTGACTAACCCTTAGTCGTCTTCCAAATTCTTCACAAGCTCTTATTCCTCATTTTTCCTACCTAACAGCTTATATCGCATTTATATTTCGATAACAGAACCTCCAAAAAAGACAATGATACTCAACAACAACAAGAAAACAAACGTATTTACACAAAACTTGAATAAAAAAGTTATTATACAACATATCACCGATGAAAGATTACATTCAAGCTAAAATTCACGCGTGACGCTATGTAACAAGTTGCAAATGAAAAAACTTTCACTATTATAAGAATATTTTAAACAAATTATGCTGTTTAAGATTCATCTTCATCGTCACTCCATTGATCTCTATTTAAAATTTGTCCTAATGAAAATGATTGTCGAGACTTTGATGTTGTTGTTTGTGATTCATTTCTACTCTGAGTTCTCATCATTAATTCATAATCATTTTGTTGTTTCTTCATATCAGCCCATATATTTATATTATCTGAACATGAATATAATTCTGTCCAAGCTTGATTAAATACGCATGTATTCACACGCATTAAATGACCATTCAAAGACGGTAAAGATGCACCACTAAAGATATCATAGACACGTATAGATTTAGAAGATGGTACATAGGCAAGAGCTTTATTTAGTTCATATTTAATTTGAGTGGTTCCTATTGTAACTAATTTTTGTCCTTCTACTTGTATATGACCATAATTAACTAATAAATGTTTGCCCGTATCAATAGACCATAGACGCATGCAATTATCGGATCCTAAACTCAATAAATGACGATTATCAGATAAAAATTGTAAAGATTTAACACAACGATCATGTGCAATAACAGTCGAAGATGTTGTAGATTTGTTTGACTTAGAACGTATGCTGGTCTCGCATGTTGTTGATGCTGATTCTACTGTTGAGACATTATCACGATCAAGACACATGTAATAGGTCCGAGAACTACGAATATCTGTAAATAATACTCGCCCATCAACACTACAAAAAAAGGAAACATTGCTGTTAGAGGAGTTTAACCAGTTCAGAAGAATTTCGATAAAAATCTAACTTTTCAGGTTTGATTTACGCAGAAGAAAGTTTAACATCACTCATACTTTTTCAAGAACTTTCACCATCAATTAAACAAACCTACCCGCCACTAGCTAGTAAATTTGAATTATTATTAAACCATTTAACAATACCAACACCATTTCCTTTGTGCAAATGCATGATGTGTGTTGATGAACCACTTCTTATATCAATCAGTCTTACGTCTCCATTAGCATGCGCTACTGCGATTAACGATGAATTTACTGTTGGCATGTGAGCACTGTAGGCAAACTGAGTAAAATCATATTCATCGGCTAACTAAAATAGAAATGGAAACATGTTCGTTGAGATCAAAGAAAGAATTCATTAAAAACTTACCTCCATCTTACCTTGAGACGATTTGCATCCCATAATTTCAATTTTTTGTCTAACGCAAGTGTAATAAAGAGACCATTATCATGCGGATACCATAATATTGAGGAAACACTATGTGTATGATGATCACTGTTGGTGTGTCGATCAATTTTAAATATAACCGGATGTGTCGCAACTAAATCAGGTGGCAACATATCGTGACAACATATATTTCCATTCAAACCGCCGGATAATAAACTAAAAAAAAGAAGAAATTAATAACTGACTGACTAAACTTCTTTGCAATATTTACTATCGATAATCTATTTGCTCTAGATCCATTGTGTTTACTGGTGTTGGATGATACGTTTGTAAACTACGATAAACACATAATGTAAAATTACCAATTTTTTTCGTACGTTCAGCATTAGCAACGTCATCACATAAACCATATTCACGCATACTCAATAATTTGAACATGTTTGGTGTGCGATACTTATTCATTCTTCTTTCTCTGAAAAATGAACAACATATCGAATAATTCTATCAAATGAAGAGAAAGACATATCGACCTATCAGAATCAAATTTAACTACATTTCGAAAAGATCTTGAAAAAATGAGTAAAAAGTCAATTTCTTTTTCATTATCAAGAACAAAGACAATAACTGAAAAGATATGTAGACAACTATTGAATACAAAAAATCCGACAAAACCAATTAAAAGAGTCTGACCATATTTTTCACAAAAGTAAGAAGCGAAAAACATTCTCTGAGCTCAAACATGTTTAAAAAATGAAAATTTTAGCTAATACATGTTTACAGCAACAAAAAGTGCTATTATATGCGTATGCCTAAAAACATCACTAATTTGGGCGTTTATATAAACAGTACGAAATGTATCCACCATCAGAGCTGTGATACAACGAGTGAGAACTGTGTTACTTAGCACAACCACCATCTCTGATAGTTTAATTAAACGTTCCAACTTTTAATAGAACTAAATGTTCAGCTGATAGTTCATTACATTTTGTACGATATGACAGATACGTGAGTTCGGGTAACCTTTTTTTAAACGTAACCATCCGTTAACGTTTACTTAATTAAATTTCTGTTTCCTCCTGTTAAGCTGGTATCATCCTTACCCTTTACTTTCAGATCAACGACAACTATGTCTGATTGAGCTGTATGATTGTTTTTTGTATAAATAATACGATGACTACTGACTCAATTTATATCGCCTTATATCTGAGCTTTCCAGCGATCTCGGTTCTACTCAACTCGATTATATCCTTTTAGCCGTAAACTAGATACTTCAGAAAGTCATTGATTACTCAACGTCAATTCAACTAACAAGTCTTCATCTCCTATTACGAAATGTTGAGACATATTTTGAGAATTTTGGGTCCAGACAAAAGTGCCCGTGAACATTCCATAGAAAAGCAAAAAATCTAATTGATCGAAGTTTCGTATTCAATTAAATTTATCCGTAGATGTCATACGATGTCTGCATTAACAGCCCAAAATGATTTCTTATTATTTTATCTTTCACAGAAAAAATACTTTTTTGAAACGACTACATCAAATTATTGTTGAAAATACATTTTGTTTCATAAAAAACAACTCTTATTGGTTGTCCCTTTTTTTACTGAGAAACTGATTTTACTGAACTTTTCTGATTGGGTGACAGAAAAATTTACGTTCTGGTGACTCAGAAACTCAGTTCAGTTTCTCAGTAAAAAAAAGGACAACTATCCCAAGTCTGAAAATTGCCATTCTGCACTTTTTTTTATGACAATTGGCCACAGCATTACCTGAAGATAGCGACAAAGCTAAGCTTTCATTAAAATTTCTCTCAGTAAGCGCAGGTATTAAAAAGGAAAAATTTTTGATAGTAGAGATTTATAGACGTCTTGGTTTGATCCGTTAAAACGTTAAACGATGCATCGTTATAAAGATGCGAATTCCAGCAGATGACGCGAGTAAAACTGACAGTAGCAAATTTTAAAGAAATCATTTTAAAAGGATCAAGCTGATTCACTATTTCACTTAAAACAATTGTATCATATGAGGTTTTTTACGCTCCTTTACTGGAACGTAAGTATTAACCGACTTTAAAAGAAGAAAAAAATTTACGGTTGTAGCTTGAGTTTTGAATTTTTAACCATGAAATTAAATTTTTCTTTCGATAACGTTTTTCCATCGTGTAGTCAAGAGTTTGCTCTATCGAATGGTATATAAAAGAAGTCCTCGTCTGTTTCAGGTAAAAAAAGTGTGTGAATGCTTTTTCGCCTTCAAAAGACAAAAAGTTTAGAGTTTACTGTAGGCATAAATAATTATTCTAGAAAACTTTGTAGTCTATGGTGTAACTCGCACTTTGCTCTATTCGATGGTATAAAATTTTTTTTCTAGTGGATTAGTTGGAAGCGAAAATGAACTCGCAAACTGCAGGTGTTCGAATAGTTTTTGACTCACTGCAGTGTGATTCAGTCCCGGGTTTTCTCTCGTTTCTCTTACAGCTTTCGAACCAAAATACTTCTAGAATATTTGTAATATTTCCTAAACAAAAGAACGTCTAGAGTGCGGGAATTGTGATCACTTACAAATCTACGCATCTTATGATAGATGGACGAAATAACTGGATTTTTATCGTTTTGAATCGAAATATATTATTTACAAAGACCATTGAATTATACATTAAATCAAACTCATTAAAAATGTTATTCAAATTTTTTTCGTATGCTCAAAAGATACCAAACATCTCACATCTCAAGTTTCCTAAAAGATCTCGAATGATCCTGTTTTTCTCCACTGATACAGACTACTTTCTGTGTATGGATTATCAAAACAATGGCTAAAGAAATAGTCGGGATTAATCTTCAATTACAACATACGAGTTTTCCACACGATTGCTCATGTTTTTTCAGTTGATAATTGTGATATGGATGCGTAATTTGTATTGATAACAAATGATCTGCTGTGAAGCACAATTAAAACGTTACTAATTTTCTACAAAGATTCTTCGCTAACTTGTGCACAATTACCTAGCTATCTGGCAACACAAATATCATAATAAGTCATTTGTTATCAATACAAATTACGCATCTGAATCACAACTATCAACTGAAAAAACATAAGCAATCGTCTAAAAACTCGTATGTTGCAATTGAAGATTAATGTCAACTATTTCTTTTTATTCAAATGGACTCGAATATCCAGTCTAAGCTAGTTTTTTAAGTTTTATTTCTTTTGAATCACATTTTTCAAATAAATTATAAAACGACAGTTTCTTTGACTGCATTATTCTCAAGCACCGTTAGCTGTTTCAAGTATTAAGATTTATGATGGACAGTTTTTTAACCAAATTCTAAGACTTCTTTTATCGTAAACAATGTATGTGATGAAAAAATATTTAAAAAATGAAAAATAACAAAACAAAAAACAAAAATCACACGTTTTAACAAAAATCTACTGCTGTGTAACACTTTCACACAATTTTTCATTTTTATTCAATGCATCCAGAGCCCTTTCACATCTTTTTTGTACAATATCTGTACCAAAAAAATTTACAATATCCAAAATTGGTGGTCCTTTGATACATCCACAAATAGTAAGCCTCCATACTTTAAATATTTCTTTATTTGTCAGTTTATCTTTACTGTTCAAATTTTTATAATCGTTGATAATTTGTTTTGCAGTCTCATACGTACCAATGTTCTTATATTTTAATGAAGATTCAATAATAAAACGTAGTTGTTCTATATCATCATCTTTGGATATATTTAACACCGGTTCAGTCCATAGATACTCATACAAATCATTGTTGAATAAATTTTCCAATGTAGCAATACGAAATTCATCAAGATCAAGAATACGTTCTAAATTAATAATAAGACAATGATTTCAATGTGAGAGACTACACATGAAATAATTCTGTTATCCTCCTCTAATGTACGCTAGCAGACGTTAAAAAAGTTTTCTTCTAGAAGAACGGCGTTTGTTTGATCCGCTTAAAAATATTTACTTATATTTTGTTAACACGTGTAAATAAATTTTAGTTGAAAGAGTTGCTTTTAACAGATTTGAACCAGTGTGAATGCACCATCTAAAGAATAATGCATTTAAACCCGATTTTTAAATCACTGTTTCGTTTTATATGAATATCATGCCTTTTCCTACGAGATACGATACATTTGTTTAGAGATTTTCTAAGTTTTTCTTTTGTTGTAAGTTACGGTACGAGACTCTTCTATCATAATGGCGCTGATGAGCACTACGTAGTAGACCATAGGTGGATGGATCTTGAGATCCATCAATCGGACAAAAAACGTTTGAAAAGCAAAAGGAACAGAACTGCGACAGAACAAGTTACGTTGGTAAAATGGAATGAACACCACGTGTGAAATACTAACTCATTCGGACTTAATAAACATTAAACGAGTTTAAATGCTTTATAATTGATTTGCGTTACAAATTCTAACTCGTTAAAACTAGAAACTTGCACTGGCGAAACGCTAATCATTCAGATCAGATCAGATAGGTGCCTTATCTGTTGCAGACGTTGGCTAACATGATACCCCAATTTTTCCGGTCTTGTGCTGCGTGAAGGAAGTCCGTTTTCTCACATCCTTGTTTTGCAATCCAGAGGTTCATGCTTTCGAGGTACTTGATTCTTGGTCGGCCTTTGTCTTTCCTCCCATTGATTTTCCCACTTAATACCAGGTGTTCCACGCAACCTTTACGGATTATATGACCTAGGAATTTCAGTTGCCTATATCGGATGGTATTCAGCAATCATTAATGATTTGTTTTATGCCAATGCCGAAGATGGGAAAACTTTCTGATGTTTCGTCTCGAACACTGGTGAGGATTTTTTATCAATGCAGATGTCTATTGATGATCGTTTTGTGTTATTGAAAAAGTTGTTTTTACTATACTTTCTATACTTCTGGAAGCTTCAAAATTCGATTTTATAAAAGTAACGCTGTTTTGCCGACTTTTTTTCTACTTTTATTTTGATTGTTCTTGTTACGAAATGCACTCTCATAGTTTCAAAAGTGGTTCTATTCTTTATTAGCGGTGGAAAGTACTAAATCCATCGCCTTTAACGCTTGATAGCGGACCTTCCTGCTAAGGTTATGCAGAAGAAAAGAAACTATTTTTATCGAAACTATTTTTCAATGAAAGTAAGTTGTTTTTGACTACTTTCTAGTAGTCAACCTTTCAAAATTTCCAAATATTAAGTTTTCAATGGTAGAGAACCCTTGACCACTAACAGCATTCGGCTGATACCATTTCTCCGACTTGAGTTGGAGATCCGATCCCTGTTGAATCGGATAGTTTTTTGGTCTTAAATCAGATGCTTAGAATCAAATTTTAAAAAAATGAAAACCCCTAATATCCCGTCAAATTTTCCAAAGAACTCTTATTTAACGAGAAAAAACGAAATTGATGTTGGTCTCATCATGAGAATATCGCAAAGCGTTGATATGTAGCAGGAAAAATATTTTTAAAAAAATTTTGACGTCCTAAAATTTTCGAGCTTACTCCAAGTTTTATATAGATTTTGCATGAAGAAAAATGTTTTAAAGACGGTCAGAAGCCATTATTTTATCGTTGAATGTGATAAAAACCGAAATACGCGCTGGCCAGAAAAATGAGTGATATAGAGAAAATGTAATTTTCTTCTCGAACACACGAGTTTTTAAATTAAAACCAAGTGTATCGTACAGTTCGTCCAAACTTAGCTATAGTAGATTAGATAAGATTTCTCGGCGCCGCTATCGCCAATAGGAATAAGTCTAAACGTAGTCATCGAGAATTTTTATCCTCTGGTTAAAACTATAGAATAGATAACATTTCACATGGTTTTAACATGTTAAATTACTTACCTAACATGTTGAGCTTTTAAATTTTTTTTTATAAAAGCCTATTCGAACGTGTTAAAATTAATTTTTAGATTTTTCAAATCCAATATAAGTTTGAAAAATAATGAGTTCGTATGCATTCAATAACAATTAACTCGTGTGTGCTCGCTAGATTAATCTTTTTTTAACGTCAGCTAACGTGTGTTAGAGTATTAAAATTTTTTCATGAGATTTTACATCACAACTATTGATATATTAGAAAAACCTATATTATTATTGATGATTTTGCCATTTAAATTGACTTACCTAGATACGATGTTTCTAATTGTAGTGATGTACCACGTTTTTTATCTGGATAATATTTCATTACTTTTTGACGTAATTTTTCAATGACACCTATTCGATCTTGTTTGTATCTACGTTTCAAATGTGCTCGTTGACATACATCTAATTTTTTAAAATCTAATATAGCTGCATGCCGAGTCAATAATGTATGATCAAATGTTTCAATCATTTCTTCTAATGTTTTTCCGATTGTTGTATCTGTTCGAAATCCCCCACCGGTTAATGTTATAAAATTGAGTAGACCATCAGGAATAAAATCATTCTTTCTATAATATTCAATTTCAATTGGATTTTGATAATTTTCTTCAGCACGTTTTGATAATTTTCTACCTTTTTCACGTTCAATTAAAGGCAAATGGCCATATTTTGGTGGTTGCCAATCAAATGCTTTGTATAATAATAAATGCTTTGATGTTGATGTTTGCCATTCATGACCACGAAATACATGTGTTATAGCCATTAGATGATCATCAATAACATTAGCAAAATGATAGGTAGGATAACCATCTGCTTTCATTATGATAAAATCACCTTCGGTATGATATGGATTATGTTCATGTTGACCAAATATTAGATCATCGTATACTTGACTTTCATCCGGTGGTAATATAAAACGAACAACACTGGGAACACCTTGTCGTTTATATTCATCTACATAAAACAAATAAGACATACGAAGACTATGATTAAGCGAGTAATAATAAAGAAATTCTTCTCTAATCATCTTTTTTTCTTCTTTCAACTATTTTCAAGTTTTATTTTGTAGATATAACTGACCTTTTTGTTTAGTTGTCAATTGTCTACATTTTTGATCATATCTGTATGGTTGATTTTGTCTTTTCGCTTCGTGTCTTAATAATTTTAATCTTTCTATTGGACAATAACATGGATAAATATATTCATTTGAATTTTTTTTCTGAAATAAATCATTCAAACATTGTTGATATAAATGGACTCTTTCTGATTGTATACAGGGTTTTTCATCTGGTTTTAATCCCGTCCATTCCAGTAACTGTTGTAAATGTTCTTTACAACCTGGTACTGTTCGTTCACGATCGGTATCTTCAATTCTTAATAAAAATTTCCCATTTGTTGAACGTGCAAACAAATAGTTGTATAAAGCTGTACGTAAACCACCAAAATGTAATTGACCAGTTGGACTTGGAGCAAATCGTACACGAATAACACTCATTTATTTTTAACGTTCTGTTGAATTTTATTCATACACTGACGAAATTCATTCATTTCAGACATACATAATCGCCAATCTTTTTTCTCTATATAGCATTCTTGTAATTGTTCGTGAAATTTAAAACATCCAGTTTTTCTTATTGCTAATGTTACTTTATCTTCGTCGTCGTCTTCTATTTGATTATTAGTAGTTGATGATTGTGATGAAGAATCCTTTTCTTTTGTGTTAGTGGTTGAGTTATTTTTATTCTCCAAAATAATGGTGGGCATTCAAACAATAAACTATCTACAACTTCAGGAGTAATCAAGAATGTTCCAATCTCAAATGTGAATCTCAGACAATAATTGAAAAAATGTTTCCTTTTTCTTAACGAAAACAAAGCAATTTGACAAAAATACACATGATCTCTGCTTAAATCTGAAGGGATGCGTCTGTGCTCTGAATATGTTTAACTTCAGAGAAAGAATTAGTGTACTAAACGAAACCGTATACTAATAAGACTTAGACACAAGTTCATTGTGTCAGTCAAATCAAGGAATATTTATATAGAAAGTTGTTTGACGCTTAAAAATACGTTCGATGTTACTTTCATAATAAGCTTTAGACGACGAAATTGATAACTCAAAACTTTGTTTACTCTAAATAAACATCAAATAACGCGTTTGAAAAAAAAATTGTAAAATCAAGCGATTCATCTTCTCTTTCCTGCTTTTAGAAGTAAAAGATTTCAGACATGTTTGTCATATTGAAAAAAATATTTTTATTCTTGACTTGATCTAGCCCAAAATCACACGTACACGTTCGAACATTTAGTACAAGGAATGAAAAAAAAAAGAGAAAAAATAGACCTGTACAGAAAAAAAGAAGCTTGATAAAAAAAAATTGAGACTCTCTTCTCTCACTTTTTATGTATCAACAAATCATTTCAAAAACTAAGTTATTATGAACGTTTCAAAGATAAACGTGTTTTACCATTTACTAATTTACTTTCATAATTAATTTTTTGCAATATAGCAGCTAACGCTTTAATAATCTCATCTTTTTGTTCTGCAGTCATATTTTGTTTCTTGGGAATAAATTTTTGAATTAATTCACCAAAGGTCATTGGACGACGTAACAATAGTTCACGAATTTTTTCTTCGGTTACTGCATCACTAAAAAAAAGAAAAAACACAATAAATGTATTAAAGATAGATGTAGATGAGAATTTGTGTTTTACTTTGAATTTGATGATGTTGATACACCGGCAGATG